AATCGAGCAGCTCCGACGTCGCTACGGTCTAGGACATCATCTTCACCGCAGTCGCCAAGGCGCCAGTTGATGGTGGGGACCGGACGTACCTGGAATGGAGAGACCGATATTTTCTTCGTGGGCCCCGGACTAAAGGTGAGCGCTGGCGGTTACATCGAGCAACTCGAGAAGAATATCCTCCCCACATGTCGTCGCCCGTACCTTCTTGGAAACTTTGTACTGCTACAGGTTGGGTGCCACCACATGGAATCGAAGGGCGTTGGAAAAACTCTCGCCTACTTGGAATGGAAGGGCGTTGAGTACCTGAAGAAGATGGAATATCTAAGTAGGTCACCTGACCCAAACCCCTCAATTACCCGGTTCGGGCGGAGCTCAACAGGGTGGTCTACAGTGGCGGAACTCCGGCACCGAATCACGGTCGCGCGGCAGAATCTCTCGATGGCGCTCCTCCAGAAGGCTGTGGCGGAGTATCATAATAGTATTTAATATGCTCTTTAATATGGTGGTAGAAATGTCCGATCAGAATTTAATAAAGTGTAACTTATAGCGCCTCGAAAGTCAAGGAAGGAAAGTGACTTCTTTTTTGCCCCCCCCCCCTATATACTGTACTACAGCAGGAAGAATATCAGGAGTGGACCTGGGGCTTTATGGGAATTCCTCTAGGAAACTATGCTCACCTACCTGTTTCAATAGAGCTGCAACTCTTGAAAGTGCCCTATCATCTTCCGGACACCCTGCTATGACAATATTTATCATTATCACATTATATGGCAGTATAAAATGGCATGAGATCAAAATCGATATATTCACGTATCATATACATGTATGCTTATCACATTGATCAACTTAACAAAAATACCCCTAATAAATAAGTGAAGGTAATAACTTCGTTTCAGTTCTATGGTTTTCGGGCTCCTGCACAGTCATGTGTCCTCCATGTCGGGTAGGTCCGATCGGTCCAAGAGATTCGGTCCTTCAGCGAATTGATCTGGTTCGGTGCAGTGTGCCTTGGGAGAGGCCATTCTGCGATTTTGCGTCGTAGTTACGGTACTCTGCAGATTTGGTGCAGAGGGACTGGGCAGCGAGCGAGGGTTAATGCCGTTTGGACTCCAGCAATTTCGGCACCGAGCTCATTTTTAGATTGCCCAAGTACAAACCCGCTGAATACATGTACACAAGGGTTATTTAGCATTACAATGATACAATTGATGACATTTACCATCCTGATTACAATTATGACACTCATTCTTGGCGCTGGCGCCAAGGGATGACACTACGATTACCTCTTGGGCTCAGCCTTAGCGGAGCGCAGATAATCGTAGTGTCATCCATTAGCGCCAGCGGAATGTCATATTCGTAATCAGGATGTTAAACTACCCCTATATACAAGTTTTTAGCGGATTTGGTGACTTAGGCAATTTAAAAATGAGCTCGGTGCCGAAATTGCTGGAGTCCAAACGGCATTAGCCGCGAGCGAGCCATTAATTTTGGCGTGAAAAGTTGCAATGAGCGTTACAGTAGTGAGGTGGCTCATCCACTTCTTCTTCGATCAAAAGTTGTAGCCTACCGTGAGCGCAGCCAGAAATTTGCGGACTGACCTACTCAAAGGCACACAGCAAAATGCTCCTCTTCGCCTACTGAACGGTTATGAAACAGCTGATCAATTGGCTGAGGGACTTTTTCTCCTCTTCCTTTTTCTTCTGGAACCCATTGTCCATCTTTCCCATGCCCTCCGCGGCTACACGTGTGTGGAAGATTCGGAACTTGTCGGGCTCAAACAGATTTGAATCTGAGCGCTCATCGCTGGACTGGGTATCAGTATGTTCGTTTTGCTTCGGACAGCCAACGGGTTTCTGGAAGATATGGGGTTAGCAGGTCAATGTTCTGAAGACTTGAGATTGAAATTAGTGGCATACTGGTAAATTGTTGATGTGAACATTTCCGAAGTAAACCCTAGATTCTTGTATCCAACAGCTTTCTGCACATGCCTTCTGAAAATAGTAAAAGTACCGGAGGCAATTTTTTTTCTCTTATTTTTGCTTTTGAAGACGATATTGAGAAGGAAAATGATGCAATCATGCCAAAAGCACAGTCCGCGTTAGTCATGTGGGCGGAGCCGGAAATGAATTTATGCCCTTCTCATTAATACTCTCACCATCTCCAGAGCAATGAGGAGGGGCAACAGTAGGCCTGACCAAGCCCACAAAAGCAGCGTGGATTGTGTCCTAAAATATCGGCAGCACTGGACAGGGCTTTCTTAGAGAATGCCGTAGTACATTTCTCTCGAACATCCATTTTAATGCACTATGCCCGAGACTGTTTTGAGCTGCGGCATGTGTCGCCGCAACTGTGTAAACCCATGGCCCAGATCTAACTCTGTCCATGCCAAGCAAGCCTTACATCACACCGGGGTTGGTTTCTTGGAAAAAGATGCTCGGGATGATAGAAACAAAGTTGCACATTGGCTGGCCAACACGACCGCTGTAGGCCTCGTATTTAATCAGATGTCTTGACGCGTCCAAATAGAAGCCAAGTGCATGGTGCTCTTCTCGAAAGTCATGTGCACTCTCCCTTATCTAGGGAATTTTCCCCTGTCGGAAAGGTTTTTATCATT